CACAGGAGTTTAAGCTGTACCACGGGAAAGGAGGTCTCTATATCGGCAAGGCAGTGCTAAAGAATAATGTCTTCGTTCTCGACTTCGTTCCAGATCAAGGCACCGCCGACAGCGATGGAATCGTAACCTTCGCTCCTTGGACACATCCGCCGAATCTCGACCCCGACTTCAGCCCAGGCGGCTTCTGGTACTCGAACACCGTACCTGAGGCAGAATGAACACGAGCATTAGCGACAATCCAACAAGCAGAGACAACATCGGCAGCAACAGAGACAACACCGATCACGGCACCAATCGCGGGCCCTTCAACGGCACCAGCCCCAATCGACGACGATACTCCACCGACTTCTGCACAGCAGTTGACTCCCACTCGACGAGAGGTCCACAGAAGCGCCAACTTCACCGCTAGTTTTTACTCCAACTCCGATCTGTACAGGCGTTCACCTGGACATCGCGCCGACGAATCTTTATGGCATCAAAGGTTAGGACATCCCAGCAACAAAGAGCTGAACAACACGATAAGAGCAGGAGTACTTGATAAAGACTCACTACTCCTACCCGACTTACCGCACCGTTCGTCTCACACCACAACCCAAGTGCGCCGGCATACACACCTCTGAAGAAGGTGTACAGCAACATACTGTACAACCGTGAACCGGGTCAAGGAGCATACAACTACGTCATCACCTTCATCGACGCCGCCACGCGATACGTATGGCACCTTAACCTTCCGAGTCGCGACATGGCTTTCGTCGCGTGGCTTCCAGTAGCAGAACGAGAATCAGGAGTGAAGCTGAAAAGCTTCCAGTCAGATGGGGGAGGGGAATATAAGTCACAGAGGTTCACGCAGTACTTGGCAGAGAGAGGCATCAAGCGGCTCATCTCCCTTCCCTACGCTCATCAACAGCAAGGCGTGGCAGAAAGAATGAACAGGACCCTCCAGAATACCACGCGCAAACTACTACGTGGCATGCGGCTACCCAACCACCAGTGGCCTGGGGCAATGGACCATGCTGTCATGCTGCACAACTTACTTTCGTCATCATCGCTCCCGAACAACGCATCACCGCATCTGCTGTGGACAGGAAAATTGGGCAACACAAAAATGTTACGAGTGTTCGGCTGCATGGTACAGTACCGACCCCCAGCTGCACGAGCAGGTCGTTTCTCCCAACGCGCACAGTGGAGGGTACACATGGGCATCGAAAAACACTACAACGCATGGAAGATCTTCGACATCCACACAAAGGAAACAGTAGCAGCACGTGACGTGATCTTCTACGAACGTCTCACTCTTCCGACGTACCTGTACAACTTGGAAACCTCACGGGATGTCACAGGCGGATTTTGTGGGGACCGAGCCTTCGCTTCGGCAGCAGATGAAGCTGACTGGGATGAGCAGAACGTGGACAGAGCTTCGGAAGAAGCCGGACCTCTTCCCTACTGCTTGGTGGACATCCCAATGGATGACGACAACCCTCGCGAAAGCATCAACGCCGAAGACTTCTACGACTTCGTTGACACCGGTTACGTTACACCCGCACGAGTCAACACCGACGAAGCAGAACGCATAGGGCCCAATTTCTTACCTGATCCAGAAGCAGGAGACGAAGCAGCTTATCTCAAGGACGCAAATCTCCCCCGCTACACACAGAGTGGACTCTAGATCCTCGGACTCGTCACCGCAGTCCACGGCACGGCGCCACCTAAGGAGCATGCCACAGTTCAGCAGGCTCTGGGGGGGAGCATAGGGAAAAATGGCGCGAGGCCATCAACAGGGAGTTAAAGGCACTCGAAGAACGCAACACCTGGAAGGTCGTACCTATCGGTGTGGCACGGAACAAGACCATTCTCACCGGCAAATGGGTTTTTTGGGTGAAAACAAAGGCAGACGGAACCATCCACAAATTCAAGGCGCATTGGGTCGTACGTGGCTTCGACCAAGAGCACGGACGAGACTTCACCGAAACATTCGCACATGTCAGTCGGCACACCTCACTGCAGATCCTCCTCGCGATAGCCGTCATGAAACGGAAGAAGCTTCATCATATCGACGTCGCCAACGCCTTTCTCTACGCACCCGTCGACGCTGAAATCTTCATGGAGCAACCACATGGCTCCAACGCAGTCCCCAACCAAGTCTATCAGCTACTGAAGTCCTTGTATGGCATCAAACAAGCCCTAAGACTATGGCAGTAATATCTACACGGGCGGCTAATCCACATCGGATTCCGACAATTGCCGCACGATCAAGGAATGTACCGGCTCACGAAAGGAACTGACTACATCCTGCTGATCGTCTACGTGGACGATCTACTCTACATCGGCTCGACCGACGGCGTCACAACCTGGTTCAAAGGGGAGCTGCAGTGGGGCTTAACGCTCACCGTCTCATCCACCGTGACACAATACCTCGGGCTCAACATACAGGAAGAAGAGAACGCGATCTATCTCAGCGCCGCAAAATACGCCGACACCATCGCCAAACGCTTCGGATTAACTCCAACTGCCATCTCCACACCGTACCGCTACACCGCCGCAAGTCACGAAGGAACCTCCGCTCCACTCAAGCCCGCCGGTATACGCGACTATCAGCGAAAACTAGGATGTCTACTATTCGCGGCCGTCACCTGCCGACCAGACCTATCATATTCGGCAAGCCAGCTCGCCACCTACCTCAAGAAATCTGAAGCAGAACACCTGGCAAAACTCGACCGCGCACTCCAATACCTCGTCAGCACTCCGACAATCGGCCTGACCTACCACAAAAGCGGAACCTCGACACCCAAGCTAATCGGCTATGTAGACGCCAACCACGCCGGCGACGCAGACAACAGGCGCTCACGTACCGGCTACATCTACCGACTCGAACCTATCGGGTCTATCTCGTGGCAATCAAGCAAGCAGGAACTAATCGCTCTCTCCTCAGCTGAAGCAAAATATATTGCACTCTATTTAGCCACCAAAGAAGGCTTGTACCTTCGCGAACTGCTGGAAGAAGCGAAGTTGGCCCAGTTACCCAGCTTCATTCTGTTATGCGACAACCAATCCGCAATTCGCATAGCAAACAAGAACGGGTTCGCGAACCGGACAAAACATATCGCCCTGCGATACTTCTTCGTGAAGGACGAGATCGAGAAGGGGAGACTTGAGTTATCTTACTATCCCACGACCGAGATGGCAGCCGACTATTTGACCAAGAAGCTCGGAAAGCAAAAAATCGAGTACTGCATGCTGCTGACTGGACAAAGCCACGTCACCAGCAGCGACACTCCAGAAGCGAAGAGGACTGTTGGAAACAAATAACTTAACGCTTCTTATGTGTTGGAACATCGAACTGTAAACGAAGCAAATAGCAACGAAGCAACGGCGAGTCAACCGAGGAGGTTGACAAGAGAAGTAACTGCTGGAGGTTACGCGAATGTCAAAGGTCCGCGACCTTTGACTTGACAAATACAGCGCGACAGCAAGGACAAACAACTTACTCGATACTGAGCAGTTGCCCGAGTCGTCACTGTATCAAACCGCAACAGCAACAGTAAAACAGTTATTAGTTGCACCCTTTCATATTCCTTGTAATCTTATAAAAGCTTGTATTACTTTTCTATAATCAATCTATCTTGCCCTCACATACTAGCGCAAAGTGGTTCAACAGTTCATCATTGAAACGCTTCCGCAAATACAGCACCTCTACTCAGAGTTTAGCCTTGAAAGATCTTAAGGGATTTTCTTAGCCCAACAGGTCTGACCAGAGTGACAGCTTGGTGGTGGATCGTTTGACCATTGTCCAATGACTGTCAAAAGCAGGGTAATGAAGTGTACTGCCGAGTTGATGTACGTAAATTGCCTCCATCCTGGCCTGTAGTGCATGCAAGATTACAACACGCATAGACCAGACCAGAGGCAAAACAAGCTTGAAACCCTAAAGGTGGCCACTGATATGTATCTGTATTTTTTAGTGTACACATGAACTTTTGATGTGGGTCAAATCCTGATGTCACAGTACCTATTTTTCCCTCACCCCAGTGACTATGCCGCAGGCAATGTTGGGCCACCATTGGGCCAAAGTTTTCCAAACCAGACCAGCAACCAGAACCTCGTTCCACGTGCCTCGCCCTCAGATCACAAACCACAAGGGCTCACGTCGGTGGTCGGTTCGGTGGTGTAGCAGGTGGCCTTGGGAACTGCGATCAGTGGCTGTCTGACAGGTTTGATTGGGGGAATGTCGTGTCATGCCTGGCTGGGTGGTTCGTAACGTGTAGTGCAAGCAGGCTGGGAGCGGCATCTCTGCCTTCGATGCTTCTGCTTTCTGGATATTCCACTTTCTGCCATCACCATTTGCGCTGCCCTCGATTTCCACTTTCCTCATTCTACTTCCTCATTAGATTACCACTAATCGTCGATTTACCTTAGCTTCTGTCGCTCGTGTTAGCGTATCAACTCTCTACCACAGTCCAGCTTCCGCTGTTCATAATTTTTCGACGCCGTGTTCGTAGGTGCGAAGCGTTTTTAGGTCATGATAGTTGACGACTTCGATCAGTCGAACGACGTTTATCTTTCGCGCGCGCCGGAGGATGTCATCATTTCGCGGAATGGAGCGGTGCTGGGAAAGAAGACCATCTTAAAGAGCGACCACTTCCCTGGATGTCAGAACATACGCCTTTTGCCTCACATCGACGGAGCTCCCAACTTCCGCCAGGTTCGACTTTCGCATCGTCCAATGAAACTCCGCATGCGGTTATCCGAGCGCGCCTCGTTGCCTCACGGCTTTTTTGGTGACTTCAAATTAAAAACACAATATTTGCTTTAGGTAGCGTTTTATTCTTCATCAGCTTGATCGATTAATCTATACTCGTCCTTGTATCTCTCTCTTCTTTTCTCCGAAGATTGCGGACCTTCCGGTGTACGGCGTGGCCATTCCGACGGTAGAGGGAATTCGCAACGTGCTGCAGATAGTGGGAGCTTCGCGCAATGGCGGACGGCACGTCCTCTGGCACAGCATGCGCGAAGAACCGGTAATCCCTCGCGCTTGAGCGTCGCTCGAGTAGATTGACACCCACGGTAGCCACCGCAATTCCAGGATACGAAGAACAGTTTTTTAGTATAGCATCAACAGTTCTGAGATATAATTTTCCAGCTCTCAGGACAACATGACTGGTTCCCAGATTAGCATAGCGGATGCAGGATAAGATTGACAATCCCAAAACAGCGAGTTTTAGTTTTTATTTCTCAGAAATAGTCCTTTTTAGAATGACATTTTTTTAAGAAGGAGCGCATTCACCTTTTTTGGAGCGCACTGACCTTTTTAGAATGGCGTTGGCGGGATTCAAGCTTCATTTAGTTCCGTTCTCTCTATTTCACAATAGAGTTGTCCATTTCAGAATCTCATTGACCTTTTCAAGGTAGGGTTGCTGTTCTCAGGTTACCGCTTACATCAAGGCCAGCACTGGCCATGTGACGATAGCTTTCCCGTTTCAATGTAGAACTGACACTACAGAGTAGCATTGACTCAATATTGCGTGCTTCCCTGCCATGGCATGGCAGGTCATCTACATCAATGGTCGCCCCTTCGTGCTGCGAGAGGTTGAGAGGCCGTTTACGAACCTCGAGTACACTGTGAGCACCACAACCCTGAATGCGCAGGGGGGCAGTGACATCGAAAGGAATGCGCTGTAGGGCTGTGAGTCTGCGCAGGTGACATGGGAACCCCTTGGCAAAGCAGAGAATCTGTGATGCACAACAGAAATTGCATTGTGTTTTGAAGAGCAGCCGGTTCTCTTGTGTGGCGCACGTCTATCTCATGTAGTCCGTTCAAGCCTTTTCTGCGGAAGGCACGTTGATTCGCTACTGTTGTTGGGGCTGACTGTGTGCGTGTGGCTGGCCTGGCAGGGCATCAACCGGGCGAGAGTGGAGCAGATGGAGGCTCGGCTGAAGAAGGATGTGCTCCGGGAGGCGGGCAGGTGAGCAACAGGTCAGGTTGGGGTCGCCATGCAGTCGCACAAGACTCGTAGGTGAAGGAAATTGTGCTGGTGAGGAGCCTATATTACCGTAACCTATGCATCGTGATGTTCATCCTGCCTGAAGCAACACGTAGAGTGTACGCTCTCTTGCTTTGCATGCTGTGGTATTCGTGGTGGGGTAGCATGCCTCCATGCAGCAACCGTACTACTTTCCCCTATGCACAGCACAGCTGATGGCGAGTAATGAGCAGCTGCCTGGCCTGGCGGAAGATGGTGCACCAATGGGCCCCTTCTGAGGCTCACATATGCTCCTGTTTGTCTGTGTGCATTTGCGTGCGTTTGTGCGCATGTGCGTGGGCCTGCATGTGTGTGTGTGGTCACGTGCATGTGTGCATGCAGGTACTCCAACAAGATCATGGTGAGCGATGAGCTGCCTGACGGCCAGATGGTGGACCAGTGGGAGCCCGTCGGCCCTGACTCCGTGCAGACGCCTCTCGAGGTCACCTCCCTTCCCCTATTCTCGTCAATTTCTAATGCTGACGGACCTGCCAGCTTTCGCACTGCACTTTGCCATCATGACTCGCTTCGCTCTGGCACTGTGTTTTGACGTCTGAGTTTGTCCGTGTGTGTGTGCACGTGGGGGTGTGTGTGCGGTGCCATGCAATGCAGGTGTACCAGGATCTGCAGAGGCAGGGGTACAATGTGGACTATGAGCGCGTGCCAGTCACAGACGAGAAGGTGCCTGAGGAGGTCGACTTTGACCTGCTGGTGAGCCTTCAGCCCTCTGCTGAGGATCTAATATCTTGTAAGCGAGATCCTGTTGTTTCCTTTGTCATCCATTTTGTTTCTGCCTCCCTCTCTCTCGTCTTGCCCACCTGTCTCCCCCCATCCCTGTCGCTCTGCACTTCCTCCTCTCTCCTCCACCCAATACCTCCCCACACCCTCTCTCTCCTCCCGCCTCCTCCCACGTCCCTCCACTCTCCCCTCCCGGTCCGTTCTCTCTCCGTGCGCGTGGCAGGTGGAGAGTCTGAGTGGGGTGGACGAGGGGACGGCGCAGATCTTCAACTGCCAGATGGGGCGGGGGCGCACCACCACTGGCACTGTCGTCGCCACCCTCATCTGCCTCGCTCGCCGCTTCCCCTCCCGTCAGTTGCCATGCCATGCCGTGCCGTCCCGTCAGTTGCCATGCCATGCTCTCCTGTCACTGGTCATGGTTGTGCACGCTCGTGCTGTCTAGACTTTCAGTCAAACTCGTCAGTTGCCATGCGACGCGGCTCCCCGTCCCCTTCTTGTGTTCCCACTTATCTTGCAACAGCTCCGTTATATATGTCATATCTGCCACCCACTTGTTCGTTCCCACTGTTACCACCTTGATACTGTGCTGGTTCGCATGGCCCCTGAGCAAGTCATGCCAATTAGGTGCAGTGCTATCTCAGCTGGCATACGAGCTCCATGTATGCGATTTTGGCGACTGAATTTCGCATGGTGCATGTTTGTGTATGTGCGTGCCTGCCTGTGGGTGTATGCATGTATGCATGCTTTTGTGTGTGTGGGAGTGAATGCATGCATGCAGGCATCCTGTCGCCCTCAGCGGGCGCCAGCATGCTGGCCAAGGCGGCGTCCACAGCGGGCCATGAACCAGGCGGGGCCGCCAAGCTCATGCTCGGCACCACCACCCCAGGCAAGGCGCACGGCGGAGCAGAGGGGGCAGCGGCGGCGGCGGAGGCAGCGGAGGTGCAGGCGGAGGTGGAGCGCGTGCTGCTGGCGGGGCAGTACGCGGTGATCCGCTCGCTCACGCGCGTGCTGGAGGCGGGCAGTGAGAGCAAGCGACTCACCGACCTCGCCATCGACCACTGCGCCTCCATGCAGGTGACGTGCTGCCGTCGCAAGGGGCGACACACGACTGGTATGGGCAGGTGACATTGTGCCCTGGGAAGGGAAAGATTGGCGTGAAAAGGAGTCAGGGGTGATACTCCTGTACTGCCCTGTCCATGTATCATGTTGGTCCAATTCCTGTTTCAGAAGGAAAAGGCACGTTTCTCCCACCCATTCCCTCCCGTTTTTCTCTCTGCGTCTCCATTTCCAATGCCACTACTCACTCATCCCACCCCTGCTCCCACGCTCTCTTCAAAATCCCCCTCAGAACCTCCGGGAGGCCATCTTGGGATACCGCAACCGCATTCACCGGCACTCGGACGAGAAGAGGCGGCAGGCGGCACTCAACCTGTTTGTGGCGTACCTGGAGCGCTACTACATGCTCGTCTGCTTCTCCGCCTTCCTGCACTCGCTCACCGCCCCCTCCGCCTCCACCCCCTCCTCCATCACCACCTCCCAAGCCCTGCCCTCGCCCTCGCTGTCCCACAGCAAGGCGGATGACACCCACTCCGCGCATGTGAGGGCGCAGGAGCCCCACACGCCATCCAAGGAGCGGTTCTCGCTGCTGGACGGGTTGGCAGCCACGCAGGCGCTGAGGGACGCCAAGGGCGGCTTCCAGCGCTGGATGAAGGCACGCCCGGAGCTCTACAGCATTCTCCGCAGGTACGCCCTCGCTCCCTGCACCACCTCAAGCTGCTGGAAACTGGTGGTGGCACTTCTCGTGGTGTAGATGTTACGCGTCGTAGACTCTAGAATTTCGGTTGATCAAGAACAGATTTGACGTGCGTACTTTGACTCAACACCATGCTGTGCATGTTCGTCTCTACCAACAACATCATCTGCACCATCTCCTCTACTCCCCTCTCCATGGCAGGCTGTTACGGAGAGACCCCATGGGAGCACTGGGGTACGCGCATCCAAAGCAGGCCAGCATGCCGCGAGGCCTCTCCTTCTCCCTACCTCACGCGGTCTCTTCCTCACCCACTTGTGATGCTACCACTGCCGTCGCTGCTCTCCATGCACCTGCTCCCACTGGCGCGGCTTCACTGCCAGCAGTGGCAGCAGCGGGGCAGGGAGAGGGAATGGAGGTGGAGGGGGCGGAGGTGGAGGCGGGGGACGTGGCAGGGGAGGCGTTTCGCATGGCGGAGATGGCGGCTGCCATTGTGGAGGCGCGCTCAGGGGCCATGCTCAGCAAGCAGGTGCGCTCAGGGGCCATGCTCAGCAAGCAGGTGCGCTCAGGGGCCATGCTCAGCAAGCAGGTGCGCTCAGGGGCCATGCTCAGCAAGCAGGTGCGCTCAGGGGCCATGCTCAGCAAGCAGGTGCATCTGGCTATGCATCAGTGTCAACGTTACATTCGCAGTTCTGCTACTGTCTTTGCTCCAATCTACTCGTTTCCCTTTTCCTCCATAAAGGTTGCAAAATGCACATGCACTCACCATTCCCTTCCTTTCCCCCCTCCGCCCCTCTCCTGCCCTTCCCACATTCACCTGCTTCCCCTGTCCCCTCTTTCCCCCCTCTCCCCACCCTCTCTCTCTCTCCCTCCCTCCCTCTCCGCCCTTCCCACTCCCTTCACGCCACCCAGACGGTGCTCAAGTCGGACCACTGCCCCGGCTGTCAGAACCTCTCCCTGCCGGAGCTGCTGGAGGGCGCGCCCAACTTCCGCCAGGTGCACGGCCTGCCCGTCTTCGGCGTCGCCAACCCCACCGTTGACGGCATCCGTGCTGTGCTGCGCCGCGTGGCGCACGCGGCAGGCAAGGGGAGCGGGGGCGCGGAGGGCGTGGAGCGGCGGGTGGTGTGGCACAACATGCGGGAGGAGGCGACGGTGTATGTGAATGGCAAGCCGTTCGTGCTGCGCGAGGCTGAGAGGCCGTTCAAGAACATGCTTGAGTACACGGTGAGACGTGTGAATGGACTTGGTAGCGCATACTGCATGCTGTGAGATACGGTGTGTTTCAAAAGATGTTGGCAGCTCCTGTGCATTGGGTCTAAATTGATAAACAGCCGCATTGGCATGAACCCAGTACTCCTGGTTTCGGCTAGGTTTCACCACTGTGCTCAAGGCGAGTCACCACCTCCCTGGTTGGAATTTAGTGTGCCAACATTGTGATTGGGTACGATGAGACATGGGTTGAGGATGTACTGTGAGCCATGCAAGGAAGCGGGCAGATGGAGAGTGTTGTGTGATGAGGCGATTCTACACGCACGGAATATTGCATGGTTAGAGGTCAGATTGAGAGCCACCAGTGTATGTTTATCCATGTGAGGAGCATCAGGGAGGAGTGATTCCCACCCAAGTTCATGCCTCTACTTGACTTCACAGCACACTGTGTCAACCCTCATGCATGCTTGCATGTGTGTGTATTGCTGTGTGCTGCATGCGCAGGGCATAGACCGGCAGCGCGTGGAGCGCATGGAGGCTCGGTTGAAGGGCGATGTGGAGAGGGAGGCGCAGCGCAGCGGGGGCATGGTGGTGGTGGACCATGAGAGCGACGCCGGGGAGCTCTTCCACGCGCTTGAACCCGTGCCCTCTGGCGCGCATGGTGCCTGTGTGCAGACCCCTTTGGAGGTCTTTCGTATGTTGCAGGTGCGTGGCAATTTGGCTGTCTGCCTGCTTTCCTCCCGCCCCGCCCCCCCACCTGCGTGCCCGCGCCCCCCTCTCCCTCTTGCCTGCTGCTGTCTTTGCTGCCATTGAAGGGTCTCTCCTCTCACCATCTGACTGAGTGGGTGTTTTCTTATTGTGCTGCCAATACACGTGTTGTGTCTGGCTGGTGTGCAAACTCCTTTGCCTCGCCACTGCTGTGGTCTGCACATTGCTTTCTGCTCGCTCTGCCTGCTTCACTCACTCCGACGTCCTCTCTGTCTTCCCCCTGTCTCCACGCCCTCTGTCTTCCCCCTGTCCCCACGCCCTTGGTCTCCCCCCTGTCTTCCCCACACCCCCCTACCCCTACCTCCACCGCACCCCTGGCAGCGAGAGGGCTTCAGAGTGGACTACCACCGCCTGCCCACCACGGACGGGCAGCCGCCCAAGAGTCGAGACTTTGACGCCCTGGCCACCACCATCAGCAGTGCTGGCCCCCACGCTGCCTTCGTCTTCAACTGCCAGGTGCCATGATGTGTCCCTGCTCAAGCTGCAAGTGCAACCTTGTCTCCTCCTGGTCCTGTTGCTGCTGTTGGATGGCAGTGGAGTGTCGGTTTGCTTCCATCCTCCACTCAACCTTACTAGTCAACCTTACCTACCTTCCACCCCTCCTGCAGTCGTCCTTTCTCGTGTTCCTCTCCCTCTGCTCCCCATGTCCTCGTCCTTGTTGCTGCCGCCTCGCTTGGGCCATCTTTTGCCACTTCTGTCCTCTGCCCGCACCTCTTTCCCCTTTTCCCCCTCGCCCCCATCGTCCCCTAACCTCATGTTACTCCCTCTCCCCGCCACCCCCCCACTTCTTCTGCCCCCATGCCCTCAGATGGGTCGTGGTCGCACCACCACAGGCACGGTCATTGCTTCTCTCGTTCTCCTCCGCTGCCTCTACGGCCGCCCTCTGCGTCTGCCCTCACTGCCCCCATCCCTCGCCCTGCCCTCGCAACTCCACCCCTGCACCAGCCAACCTTCTCCCCCGCGCTGCAGCCCCCGGAGCAGCAGCAGCAGCGGCAGTGAGAGGGGGCCTGGCAGCAGCAGCAGCAGCGGTGGTCAGAATAGTCACGACAGTATCAGTGGCGGTGGCAGCAATGATGAAAACGCTGCTATCAGCCGTGATGCTAACGAGGGTGACAGTAGTGGTGCCATGAACCCTGACTTGCAAGGGCCCAAGGCGTCGGAGCCACACAGCGGCTGGCGGCAGGAGGATGGCCCTGCGGTCCACCACACACCCTCCAGCCTCCGCAAGTGCTCCAGCGGCCAGCGGAAACGGCGGGCCACAGGGGATGCTGGAGCGGGCGAGGGAGGGAAGATTGTCGAGCGGAGGAGATCGGGTTCAGGCAACGGGAGAGAGGGGGGCGGAGGGAGAACGCATGAGGGCGAGGGCGAGGGCAGGGGTGGGGGAAGGGGGCGGGGCAAGGCGCAGAAGACATGGGTGGACGAGTTTGAGCTGGAGGACATCCCCGTGGTGCGCAAGGTGACCCGCATGCTGGATGGCGGCGCTGCTGCGCGGCACGTGCTGGATGGCGTGGTGGACCGCTGCGCGCAGATGCTCAACATCCGTGAAGCCATCCTCAGCTACCGCCGCGCCTTCAACATGCAGGTGAGGGTGCGGTGGGGACGTGATGCTGGGTGACCGATGCTGCACGCTGGCCGACTGCTTGCATGCCTTGGCAATGCGTCTCTGCATCCTGCACCACCTCCTGCGATTACATTGCTCACACCCGCCCTTGCGCCCCCACCCGCACTGGCAGGACGCGGATGCGCGCACGAGGCAGAGTGCTCTGAGTCGCGGCGCCGAGTTCCTGGAGCGCTACGTCATGCTCATCGCCTTCGCCTCCTACCTCTCCTCGCCTCTCTTCCGCCCCGCCGCCCCCTCCCTCTGGCCGCGCTCCTCCTCCTCCTCTTCCTCTCTGCCCTCCATCCCCCCCTCCTCCTCACACACCGCCCTGCCCCGCCTCTGCCCCTCGCTGCCTGCTGCCACCAGCTCCTCTCTCACCGCTGCCACTGGTGAGGCTGCACGCTCAGATGCAGGGGAGGATGGTGCAGAGAAAGAGAGAGCAGAAGAGCAAGGTGGGGGGCGGAGTGAGCCAAAGCAGGCCAAGGTTAATGGAGAAGGAGAGGGGGAAGTGGAGGCGGTGAGCTTCAAGGCGTGGCTGAAGCGGCGGCCGGAGATCCGGCAGATGAAGTGGGGCCTGCGCTTGCGCCCTGCCCGCCTCTTCACCATTCCGGTGGGCTGCCCTGCCTCACCCTCATCCCCCAGGCGGGGCGTGTTGTCTGCTATGCCATACCATTTGTGGCCCATGTGGTGTAATCCCATGCCACTCCATTTCACCCACTACAATCGCATCCCAACCTGTCACATTCTGTATTGCCACATTGTATCTCATTCCAACCATTCGTTTTGCTATCTTCATGCGTCACAGCCTCCCTCTCTCTCATGTTTTGATCCCCTCACTAACTCCCCCTCCCTCTGTACCCGCTCAGGAGGTGGGCGTGCGGCTGCGAGACAGCGATGCGAGCGCCAGCGGGGCAGCGGGGGCGGGGGAGGAGAGGGAGGCGGAGGATGCAGTGTTGCGGGCGCGGCGAGGGGCAGTGCTGGGGCGCGGGTCCATCCTGAAGCTCTCTCTCTTCCCCGGGCTGCAGCCGTCCGCGCTCAACTACTCCATCCAGATCCCCCACGTCCCCAACTACTTCGAGGTCCGCTCCCACTCCCTCCCCTCCGCCCCTCGCCCTCTGCTGTCCCTCTTGCGTTCTCCCCGGTGTCTTCCTGGCCTTGTTCTGTTGCTCGTTCACTATGCATCTGACCACCTACCAGGCACACCCACCAGGGGCGCCCGCCTTTCGTCTCTCGGTTACAGCCCTCACTCCCCTCTCTCCTCGGCTCCTCTCGCCCTCACCAACCCCCAGTCCCTGCCAACTCACACACAGCATGGGCATGCCCACCCCACAGCACATGGCGTTTCTTCTGCCTCCTCTCATCCCAACATCCTCTTCGCCGCTCCCTGGGTCTCCCCTCCCCCCCCCCCCCCCCTTTCACCCACCTCCGTCCCCCAACATCCCGCCAGGCCCCAGGGTATCCAGTGCACAGCATGGCGACACCCACGGTGCAGGGCGCACAGGCCGTGCTCGCCCACCTGGGCGCCGTGCCACAGCCCAAGCCACCACCCTCCACAACACCAGCCGACGGCACCGCTGGTGGCGAGGGCGAGACTGGGAGGGGGAGCGGGGAGCGGGATGCAAATGGGGAGGGGGAAGGGGGAGGGGAGGCGGATGGGAAGGCGGAAAAGAGGGAAGGGGCGGAGGTGGATGGAAAGGGGGGACCGAGGGGGGAAGCGGAGGTGGTGATAGTGGACCTGCGCGAGGAGGCGGTGGTGTACGTGCATGGCAAGCCCTTTGTGCTGCGCGACGGTGACCAGCCCGCTGCTGCCCTCAAGCACGTGGGCATCGCCGGTGGTGCTGTGGCGGCCATGGAGGAGCGGCTCAAGGCAGACATCCTGCAGGAGGCTGCTCGGTGCGGCGGCATGGTGCTGCTGCACAAAGAGAGGCCCAGAGAGGGGCACGTGCTGCAGGGCGGGAGCAAGGGTGTGGACGCGGGTGGCAGTGAGAATGCGGTTGATGGAACTGCTTCTGCTGCTGGGGGAAGTGGCGGTGTGGAGAGTGGCTCTGCTCCTGCCGTTGCTGCTGGTGTCACGGTCAGTGGTGCCACTGCTGCAGATGGCACTGCAGATGGCGCTGTTGCTGCTTTGCCTTGTGCTGCTGCAGATGACAGCACTGGTGCACAGCACACGACAGGCAGCACAGCTGCTGACCCGCCTGCATCAGGTGCCGCTGTGCCGGTGGGCCCCACGGAGATCATCGGCGTGTGGCGTGCGGTGGGGCCGGATGACGTGAAGACGCCAGCACAGGTGTACGGCGAGCTGAGGGAGCAGCAGGGTTACCTCGTGGACTACCGGCGCATCCCCCTCACGCGGGAGAGGGTCCCCGTGGCCTCCGATGTCGATGCGCTGCAGCTCTACATTCAACGGTAAGCCCATCCTGCCATCTCCCTTGCCCACACCTAATCGATAGGGGGCCCATCCTCCGTGTCCACGCCTAACTGACAAGGAGAGAATGTGTCGTGTTTTGTCTCGCAGCACCCTGTTGAGGTGAGACAAGCACGCCTATGCTGCAATGCCAAGTCGTGAGAGCTCTTGAAGGTTGGACAGTTTGTAGTGCAGCAAAAGCAACATTAGCTCCATCCATCACTCGCACTCTCCGTGCACCTTGCACACCTTCACAACTAAGTCGCCTCCTTCATTCCTTTCTCGACCCCTCCCTGCTCCCCACACTGTTCCCCACAACTCCCTGTCACCCTCATCTCACCGGCCCGCATCCCACCCACCTCACGCGGTCCACCACCCTGCGCCCCACCACCCTGCACCCCACCACTCTGCACCCCACCACCCTGCACCCCACCACACTGCACCCCACCACACTGCACCCCACCACCCTGCACCCCGCCACCATGCACCCCACCGCTCTGCACCCCACCACCCTGCACCCCACCAGCCGAGGCCCCAACGTGAAGTTCCTGTTTGTGTCGCACACGGGCTACGGCGCGATTGCATACGCCATGGCCCTCACGTGCCTGCACCTGCAGGCCACCACTCTCCCCTCGCCTGCTCCCCATGCCCCCTCTGCCGCCCCCTCATCACCCACCGCTGCTGCCACATCACCCACCACCCTCGCCAAGCCTGCTGCTGCTTCATCCATTCCGGTCCCCAAGGCTGGCGGCGGTGGGGGGGGGAAGGGGGAGTATCGAAACGTGCTGCAGCTGGAGCGGGTGCTGGTGAAGGGGCCGCACTGCAAGCGACTTGTGGATGCCGTCGCTCACAGGTGGGCAGCACACAGGTGGGCAGCACACAGGTGGGCAGCACACAGGTGGGCAGCACACAGGTGGGCAGCACACAGGTGGGCAGCACACAGGTGGGCCGCACACAGGTGGGCAGCACACAGGTGGGCGGCGCACAGGTGGGCAGCGCACAGGTGGGCAGTACACAGGTGGGCGGCACATAGGTGGGAACACTTTGGAGGTGATGAGAATCACTAGGCTGTTGTACAGGGTTCGGCTGATTGGAAAGGCGAGAACAATAGCAGCATGACTTGAATGTGCGTGAGGCGACAGGAGGATGAGGAGTCCACGGCCGAGAGGGTAGCACGGTGCCACTGACAGTCCTTTTCGCATGTGCGCGCTGTGCCTGCCCATGTGCGCGCTGTGCCTGCCCATGTGCGCGCTGTGCCTGCCCATGTGCGCGCTGTGCCTGCCCATGTGCGCGCTGTGCCTGCCCATGTGCGCGCTGTGCCTGCCCATGTGCGCGCTGTGCCTGCCCATGTGCGCGCTGTGCCTGCCCATGTGCGCGCTGTGCCTGCCCATGTGCGCGCTGTGCCTGCCCATGTGCGCGCTGTGCCTGCCCATGTGCGCGCTGTGCCTGCCCATGTGCGCGCTGTGCCTGCCCATGTGCGCGCTGTGCCTGCCCATGTGCGCGCTGTGCCTGCCCATGTGCGCGCTGTGCCTGCCCATGTGCGCGCTGTGCCTGCCCATGTGCGCGCTGTGCCTGCCCATGTGCGCGCTGTGCCTGCCCATGTGCGCGCTGTGCCTGCCCATGTGCGCGCTGTGCCTGCCCATGTGCGCGCTGTGCCTGCCCATGTGCGCGCTGTGCCTGCCCATGTGCGCGCTGTGCCTGCCCATGTGCGCGCTGTGCCTGCCCATGTGCGCGCTGTGCCTGCCCATGTGCGCGCTGTGCCTGCCCATGTGCGCGCTGTGCCTGCCCATGTGCGCGCTGTGCCTGCCCATGTGCGCGCTGTGCCTGCCCATGTGCGCGCTGTGCCTGCCCATGTGCGCGCTGTGCCTGCCCATGTGCGCGCTGTGCCTGCCCATGTGCGCGCTGTGCCTGCCCATGTGCGCGCTGTGCCTGCCCATGTGCGCGCTGTGCCTGCCCATGTGCGCGCTGTGCCTGCCCATGTGCGCGCTGTGCCTGCCCATGTGCGCGCTGTGCCTGCCCATGTGCGCGCTGTGCCTGCCCATGTGCGCGCTGTGCCTGCCCATGTGCGCGCTGTGCCAGCCCATGTGCGCGCTGTGCCAGCCCATGTGCGCGCTGTGCCTGCCCATGTGCGCGCTGTGCGTGCCCATGTGCGCGCTGTGCCTGCCCATGTGCGCGCTGTGCCTGCCCATGTGCGCGCTGTGCCTGCCCATGTGCGCGCTGTGCCTGCCCATGTGCGCGCTGTGCCTGCCCATGTGCGCGCTGTGCCTGCCCATGTGCGCGCTGTGCCTGCCCATGTGCGCGCTGTGCCTGCCCATGTGCGCGCTGTGCCTGCCCATGTGCGCGCTGTGCCTGCCCATGTGCGCGCTGTGCCTGCCCATGTGCGCGCTGTGCCTGCCCATGTGCGCGCTGTGCCTGCCCATGTGCGCGCTGTGCCTGCCCATGTGCGCGCTGTGCCTGCCCATGTGCGCGCTGTGCCTGCCCATGTGCGCGCTGTGCCTGCCCATGTGCGCGCTGTGCCTGCCCATGTGCGCGCTGTGCCTGCCCATGTGCGCGCTGTGCCTGCCCATGTGCGCGCTGTGCCTGCCCATGTGCGCGCTGTGCCTGCCCATGTGCGCGCTGTGCCTGCCCATGTGCGCGCTGTGCCTGCCCATGTGCGCGCTGTGCCTGCCCATGTGCGCGCTGTGCCTGCCCATGTGCGCGCTGTGCCTGCCCATGTGCGCGCTGTGCCTGCCCATGTGCGCGCTGTGCCTGCCCATGTGCGCGCTGTGCCTGCCCATGTGCGCGCTGTGCCTGCCCATGTGCGCGCTGTGCCTGCCCATGTGCGCGCTGTGCCTGCCCATGTGCGCGCTGTGCCTGCCCATGTGCGCGCTGTGCCTGCCCATGTGCGCGCTGTGCCTGCCCATGTGCGCGCTGTGCCTGCCCATGTGCGCGCTGTGCCTGCCCATGTGCGCGCTGTGCCTGCCCATGTGCGCGCTGTGCCTGCCCATGTGCGCGCTGTGCCTGCCCATGTGCGCGCTGTGCCTGCCCATGTGCACGCTGTGCCTGCCCATGTGCACGCTGTGCCTGCCCATGTGCACGCTGTGCCTGCCCATGTGCACGCTGTGCCTGCCCATGTGCACGCTGTGCCTGCCCATGTGCGCGCTGTGCCTGGCCATGTGCGCGCTGTGCCTGGCCATGTGCACGCTGTGCCTGCCCATGTGCGCGCTGTGCCTGCCCATGTGCACGCTGTGCCTGCCCATGTGCGCGCTGTGCCTGCCCATGTGCGCGCTGTGCCTGCCCATGTGCGCGCTGTGCCTGCCCATGTGCGCGCTGTGCCTGCCCATGTGCGCGCTGTGCCTGCCCATGTGCGCGCTGTGCCTGCCCATGTGCGCGCTGTGCCTGCCCATGTGCGCGCTGTGCCTGCCCATGTGCGCGCTGTGCCTGCCCATGTGCGCGCTGTGCCTGCCCATGTGCGCGCTGTGCCTGCCCATGTGCGCGCTGTGCCTGCCCATGTGCGCGCTGTGCCTGCCCATGTGCGCGCTGTGCCTGCCCATGTGCGCGCTGTGCCTGCCCATGTGCGCGCTGTGCCTGCCCATGTGCGCGCTGTGCCTGCCCATGTGCACGCTGTGCCTGCCCATGTGCACGCTGTGCCTGCCCATGTGCACGCTGTGCCTGCCCATGTGCACGCTGTGCCTGCCCATGTGCGCGCTGTGCCTGCCCATGTGCGCGCTGTGCCTGGCCATGTGCGCGCTGTGCCTGCCCATGTGCGCGCTGTGCCTGCCCATGTGCACGCTGTGCCTGCCCATGTGCGCGCTGTGCCTGCCCATGTGCGCGCTGTGCCTGCCCATGTGCGCGCTGTGCCTGCCCATGTGCGCGCTGTGCCTGCCCATGTGCGCGCTGTGCCTGCCCATGTGCGCGCTGTGCCTGCCCATGTGCGCGCTGTGCCTGCCCATGTGCGCGCTGTGCCTGCCCATGTGCGCGCTGTGCCTGCCCATGTGCGCGCTGTGCCTGCCCATGTGCGCGCTGTGCCTGCCCATGTGCGCGCTGTGCCTGCCCATGTGCGCGCTGTGCCTGCCCATGTGCGCGCTGTGCCTGCCCATGTGCGCGCTGTGCCTGCCCATGTGCGCGCTGTGCCTGCCCATGTGCGCGCTGTGCCTGCCCATGTGCGCGCTGTGCCTGCCCATGTGCGCGCTGTGCCTGCCCATGTGCGCGCTGTGCCTGCCCATGTGCGCGCTGTGCCTGCCCATGTGCGCGCTGTGCCTGCCCATGTGCGCGCTGTGCCTGCCCATGTGCGCGCTGTGCCTGCCCATGTGCGCGCTGTGCCTGCCCATGTGCGCGCTGTGCCTGCCCATGTGCGCGCTGTGCCTGCCCATGTGCGCGCTGTGCCTGCCCATGTGCGCGCTGTGCCTGCCCATGTGCGCGCTGTGCCTGCCCATGTGCGCGCTGTGCCTGCCCATGTGCGCGCTGTGCCTGCCCATGTGCGCGCTGTGCCTGCCCATGTGCGCGCTGTGCCTGCCCATGTGCGCGCTGTGCCTGGCCATGTGCGCGCTGTGCCTGCCCATGTGCGCGCTGTGCCTGCCCATGTGCGCGCTGTGCCTGCCCATGTGCACGCTGTGCCTGCCCATGTGCACGCTGTGCCTGCCCATGTGCGCGCTGTGCCTGGCCATGTGCGCGCTGTGCCTGCCCATGTGCGCGCTGTGCCTGCCCATGTGCGCGCTGTGCGTGCCCATGTGCGCGCTGTGCCTGCCCATGTGCGCTTTCCCTTCCACCATGTCTTCTTCCCCCCCCTTTACCACTGTGTGTTCTCCCCTCCACCGTGTGTGCTCCCCACCCCACCACCATCTGTTCCCCCTCTCACCCTGCATCCCCCCCCAATGCAGGCTGCTGGCGGTGGGGCGGATAGTGGAGGACGCGGGGGAGTACAGGAGGGCGGTGGAGGCGGTGCAGGGGGACGACACGGTGGACCGCGACAGGCGGGCGGCACTCACTGACATGGGCCTCAAGGCGCTCAGGTGAGGCAAGGCGCTCAGGTGAGGCAAGGCGCTGCTTGCTGTTGTCAATACTTGTTGCGGTATGCTATCTGTACGGATATGTTTTGCTAGCTGTATGGGTATGTTCTGCTTCCCAACCTTGTGATTCCACACAATGACGCAGCTATGCCAGTTTCGTGCTTTGCGCTAGCTGTCTATGTTGTCTATCCCTTTTGCTACCCTTCACTTATGGAGCCTCTCGTATGCATTCTCTCAATTATTCTACTTCTTGACCATGATTTCCAGACATGTCTACGTATATTTACATCTACTGACACGTTTTTTGTGAATTCCACCTCCGTGAATTCCACCTCCGTGAATTCCACCTCCGTGAATTCCACCTCCGTGAATTCCACCTCCGTGAATTCCACCTCCGTGAATTCCACCTCCCCTCCTCTCTTCCTTATCCCGCGTCCTTTGGGTGCAGGCGCTACTGTTACCTCATAGCCTACCGTTCCTACCTCTTCTCCAGGGCATCTGCCAGCGGTGCTGTCAGCAGCAAGGGCAAGGCAGTGGTGGAGACAGGGGGGGCCAAGGGAGGAGCAGGGGGCAGTGGGGAGTCGTTTGGCGCGTGGGTGGCGCAGCGGCCGGAAATAGAGCACATGCTACAGCACCTGGTGCTGGAGTGACGCACTGCAGGCCATGGACCTCAAGCCATGAGTCACTGCACTTGCCACGGACCACCCCACACAGGCCACTTGCCACTGGTGTTGGTAATGGCCGATGGGGCCCAAGTAAGCTTGCATGGCTTTGTTCTTGATGGCTCGTGAATGCGCTTGTGCTTTTGTAGGTATGAGATTTATCGGTAGTACAGTAATAAGCCGGCTATAACAGGTACCGGTACATTAATAAGCTGGTAAATTATTCAGACACTGTATACATGTTACGCAGTATTTGTTTTTATCAGTTCGTACTAACATATTCTATTAATACCTAGGCACCATACGGTTGGGTGTTGCTAAGTATGACAGCTTGGTTGAGATTACTACACTGTGGATTTCAATTTGTCAATAAGTGCCCCCTGAAGGGTGTAGAAGGATAGAAATAGAGGGGTGCGTCTTGAACCTAACGAATATACCGTCAGCACACGGATGGTGTATCTACGCAGCACCTATCATAGGCACATACGCCAAACTTTTTATTTAATAAGGTGATTGATATACAACACCGACACAGCAAGTGTAAATGATAAAAAACAGTCATGACTGTGCATGAGAGGTGACCAGGCCGTCTCCGATGTGGTTTCTATAGAGGACGGTGGTTTGTCTATGGTAACTGCTAGATGGTAGAGAATGCACTGTTCCATTGCTGTTGTTGTCTGTTAGTCTGCTTATCAGCCTTCTCTCCTCCCTTGCACGCCAAAATCTGCCCTTCCGAACCGAACACTGTCAAAACTGATTTACATGAATGTAGGTTGTAGTGGGGTAGCACATATAGAGTTCCACACTTTTAGGGTTTGGTACTTGTACTTTCTTTCCTGACTAATGAAATTATTCCTGCCTGATAGATTTCAACAAGCACTTCCGCTTTAGGTTGTACCAAACCTCGCCGACACTACGTTGGTCGAGAGAGGTTGGCGATGCGTCAGTGTTCCGGGTCTGGGGATCTCGTGCCTTTGTCCGCGATACTTACGCGGATAAGCTCTCCGCCCGTGCCGTTCCCTGTGTCTTCCTTGGTTTTCCCCCTAACGCGCCTGGCTGGCAGTTTTACCACCCCACCTCGCGCCGTGTTCTGTTATTTCAGGACGTCACGTTTGACGAGTCGGTTCCCTTGTACCGTCTCTTCCCCTACCGCACTGCCCCTCCCCCTCCCCCGCCGCTCTTCCTTGCTCCAGGTCCCCCTCCGGTAGACCCCCTCCCCCCTCAGGGTCCTGCTCCTTCAAGTGTGTCTTAGGTAGACCCACTCCCCTTTGTTGAGCCTGTCGAGGTCACTGGTGACTCTGGTGCTACTGGGGGTGCTGAGCCTGCGGGTGCTGAGCCTATGCGCAAGGAGCCTGGGGGTGCTGAGCCTGAGCGTGTGGAGCCCGGGGGTGCGGAGCCTGGGGGTGCTGAGCCTGCGGGTGCGGAGCCTAGAGCTCCTGAGGCTGGAGGTGCTGGAGCTACTGCTGGTACTGGAGGACGCGGAAGAGCTGGAGCTACTAGTTCTGGAGGTGCTCGTACTGGAGGTACTGGAGCTGTCGAAGCTGGTGGTCCTGTCGGTACTAGTGGTGCTGGTGGTACTGACGCTGCTAGTCATGGAGGTGCTAGTTCTGTCAGAATGTTGTATTTGTCTAGCCTGCAGTGGGGTACTCTATAGCGAGTACAGCCCAATCTAGGGTTTCCTATATGTACTCAACTGCTTGCTAATGCAACCCCTCTTTCTTGTTCTAAACTTTCTGCTCGTACTTTGAAATGCTATCAGAGCGTGTCCTTCCTTGGCCTGTGGCCCCACCAACCTGCTTCCGCTGCTACTTGATCTGTCGCACGCCCCGTGGCATGCGACGTATTTTTCATCCCGCCGCGCGCTTTCGGCGCGCGGCGGTTTACTCTCTGGCGTGCGCCCCGGGGCGCGCGGCCCCTTTCCTTCCTGGCGCGCCGCCCCCGCTGTTCCGTCGCGGCGCCCTAGGGAGCCGCGCGCGCCCCCCGCCCGTCCGTTGCGACGCCCTGGGGTGTCGCGCGCGGCCCCTGCCGTCCTGTCGCGGCGCCCGGGCAAGGCGCGCGCGGCCCCTGCCGTTGCGTCGTGGCGCCCTGGTGTCGCGCGCGGCCCCTGCCGTCCTGTCGCGACGCACTGGGAGCCACGCGCGACCCCCCGCTACCTCGTCGCGGCGCCCTGGGGAGCCGCGCGCGGCCCCTCGCTACCCCGTGGTGGCGCCCTGGGGGCCGCGCGCCGTCCCCCTCGCCGTCCCCCGCGCTCCTACCCCGTGCCACCCGTTTTAGGGTTTGGGGGTGGGGAGTGTGGGGGTGGCGGTTGTGGGGGTGCCGGTTGTGTGCGCCGTCCCCTACTCCTCCTCCTCCTCCGTCTCCCGCTGCTGCAGCTGCCACTCAGGGGGGTGGGTGTGTGGGAGCCGAAGGAGTGGTGCTAGGGGGGTGTCGTGGGAGTGGAGCTAGGGGTGCAGCAGGGGGTGTGTGATAGGGGCGTGGGGCAGCTGGGGGGGGGTTGAGTGGAGGCAACCGTCGTGTCGTCAGCAGCGCCAGTAGTTCGGAGGCTACAATCTCCGGTAGTCGCCAGTCGCCTGTGGGTCAGTTGCTCCAGTCAGGAGGCTACAATCTCCGCGGAGCCAGTTACTCCTGTAGTCCGGGCCTTTGCTTCGGTAGCCACTGAGCCAGCAGCTCCTGTGTGTCTGCAGCTTCAGCAGTCGCCTTCCATCTTCTCGCCCCCACAGTCTCTCCTCCTCCTCACTTGCCCTCTGTGATAGCCTCTAGCTTTGCTTGCAATTGTGAACCTGCTCTATGACTGCGTGCTCTGCTGATTACACCCCACTTTGGCTATGGGGGTGTGTCAGAATGTTGTATTTGTCTAGCCTGCAGTTGGGTACTCTATAGCGAGTACAGCCCAATCTAGGGTTTCCTATATGTACTCAACTGCTTGCTAGTGCAACCCCTCTTTCTTGTACTAAACTTTCTACTCGTACTTTGAAAAGTTCTGGAGGTGCTCTCTCGCCGCAGATGCTACGCAAGTGGTACACTCAGCACTGCCGTCTTCGGAGTGGCGCTGCTAGGGCTGGAGGCGCTGTGGCTGGAGGCACGGGAGCTGGAGGTACTGGAGCTGCCGGAGCTGGTGGTGCTGCGGACTCTAGAGCTGGAGGCACTGGAGCTGTAGGCGCTGGAGCTGGTGACCCGGGAGCTGGAGGTGCTGGAGCTGGAGGCGCTGGAGCTAGTGACCCGGGAGCTGGAGGTGCTGGAGCTGGAGGCGCTGGAGCTGGAGTTTCTGGAGCTGCGAGAGGCCCTGGAGCTGTTGGTACTAGTACTAGAGGTTCTGGTGCTGGAGGAGCTCGTGCTGGTGGTGCTACACCGCCGTGTTTGTTCTTCGCTCTGCCGTCACCGTCGTCTCTGCCGCCGCCTGGCTCGGTGCTTCGCCAGGTTCTTAGCCTCCCGTCCTCTACTGGTCTCCCGTTATAGCCAGGCTCCCCACTGCCTGCTCCCTCTCCTTACGCTGAGCAGACTGACTCACTTACAGAGTGTCGAGAGCATGCGTCTCGTCCTGCCTCGCTTGTTCACGATGTTCGCACTCGTCGCCGTGTTCCTCGTGAGCGTCCTCCTCCTGTCCCCAGCACGCACACTATGGCACTTTGTCCTTCCTCTGTTCCACAGCGTGTTCCCCTGCCGTCTCCTCCTGCGTCCTCTCTTCCGCACGTTGCAGACCCTGAGTCAGACTTGGTTCGTGCTGCCAGTCCTATTGTTAGGCGTCTCTTAGCCATTCTTGTCACCGACCCTTCGTTTGAGTCTGCTGCTGCGCCTGCCTTAGTCGCTGAGCTTGTTGACTTTGCTGCTGCTTGTCGTCTCGACTACGCCGCTAGTCTTTTTGCTGAGTCTGGGTCTGTCTGTCCTCCGTCAGTCGGGGGTGAGTGTGCTCTTGGCACGGACGTCTTTGAGGACAGGCAAGAGGACTTTGAGTGTCTTGCAGCCGCTGCACCTCATCTCGTGGCCATGCTGCTTGCCCCTTAGGGAGACCCGGATGCACCAGACATCCCAACCCCACGATCTTACGCTGAGGCGATCGCGAGTGAGAACTCCTCTCAGTGGCGGACAGCCATGGACGCAGAGATGGCATTCTGGAAGTCCACAAGCACCTACGTCGACGCAGTTCCCCCTCCTGGGGCGAACGTATTCGATGGCATGTGGATTTTCAGGGTGAAACGGCCGTCGGGTTCTCCGCCTGTCTTCAAGGCTCGTTACGTTGCACGAGGCTTTAGTCAGCGACAGGGAGTTGACTTCTTCCAGACCTTCTCCCCTACCCCAAAGATGACCACTCTTCGGGTGCTGCTGTACGTCGCCGCTCAGCATGAATACGAGCTTCACTCTCTTGACTTCAGCACAGCTTTCCTACAGGGCAGCCTCCAATAGGAGATCTGGCTGCGCCGTCCACCTGGCTTCACTGGGTTGTTTCCTGCAGGTACCCAGTGGAGCCTTCGACGTCCAGTCTACAGTCTCCGCCAGGCGCCTCGTGAGTGGCACGACACACTCAGGATGACACTTGTGGCTCTTGGGTTTGCTCCTTCGATTGCAGACCCGTCGCCGTTTCTCCGCACCGACACTTTGCTACCGCCGTTCTACATCCTCGTGTACATCGATGACTTGGTTTTTGCTACTGCTGACACCGAGGCACTCGCGGAGCTACAGAAGAGACACACGTGCACAGACCTTGGTGAGCTGTGCAGCTATCTTGGCTTGCAGATCACCCGGGACAGAGCATGACGCACCATCACCCTGACTCAGTCACACATGGTGCAGCAGGTCCTTTAGCGCTCCAGCTTTACTTGGTCCTCGCCACAGTCCACTCTTCTGGCTACAGGTCACTCGCTCTCAGCTCCACCTTCAGACGAGTCCGTAGAGTCGAGCGGCCCGTACCCAGAGCTAATGGGTTGCCTCATGTACCTGATGACCTGCACTCGTCCTGACCTTGCGTACCCTCTTGACCTTCTGGCACGCTA